CTGTTAACTACCTATTCCATTAAAACCTATACGACTAACAAGGAGCGAATTAGGCCATCTTCATTGCGTTTTCCTTCATTTAACAAATGTTTATTTAATTTTATGCTCATGTTCATTTCAAAATATAAAAATAGGAAAGGAATTGAAACTTTCCAGCTACATGCATTTAAACTGCTTGCTAAAGCTAAGATCTCTAAATTTATAATCAAATTAACACTAAAACGTCCGAAAATGGCTGTATTACTAACATTTTTTCAGTTTATGTGTGTGTGTGGTGATCATTTTAAAAAAAATGGAGAAATACTTTACAATTTATAAGTAGATCCATCGCTCTGTAAAGTTTTATTAAATCAGGTTTCATTTCTAAAACATAAAAAAAGAAGGAAAAAATCAAGCAGTTTCAATCAAAATATAGCAAATAAATAAAAAGTACAGCAAATCAAAGCATAAGTAAAATAAACAAAAAGTCGTTAAACGATCAGAACAAAAAGCAAATTCGCAATAAAAAAATTCGAATCGAAACATCGTTAGAAAAGGGGGAAAAAAGGAAAAAGAAGAAATTCCGACGAAATGAACGGAGGCAAAAAGAGGATGTAAACAAACCTGAGAAAATCAGAAGAAAGAGGTAAAGAAGAGAGTCCAATGAAGTCCCCTCCAGATTTGCTCCATAAATAGGCAAAGCTCTCCGCTGTTATATTATACTTTGACTTCGAATGAGTTTTGATTCTTCAAAGAGAAGAAAAGTACAAGGCTTGTCTTGATTATCTTAATACAAAGTTAAATAATAAATAAATAAGCCTAGGATTATGCAGTTAACATACCCAAGTTTGTAACGGTTGGAACGAGCCGAGTCGAGTTTGAGTTTCGTTGAGTTCAACTTAATTTGAAAATTTTGAAATAGAACTTTATTCAATTTGAAGAGAACCTAAAATTTTTAAGTTCAACTTGAAATCATGAACTAAGATCGAAAATGTTTGAAACGAAAAAAAATCTTAAACTTTAATTTAATTGAAGGCTCAAACTCAAACTTGGTTTTGAACATTAAATACATGAAAATTTTATATTGTATTTAAAAAAAATCAACACATAAATGTTAATATTATTAATAATTTATTTTTTCAAAAAATAAAATCTTAATATATTATATTTTCGAGTTGTTCACGAGCTTTCGAGTCGAGTATCAAGTAGCTCGTTTCAGCTAGTTAAAAACTCGAGTTGAGCTCAAGTCGTATCAATTTGAGTTGAGTATATATCGAACTTTGACCGAATTGATATCGAGTAACTCACGATCTGTCTCGTCGCATTTACAAGTCGCATTTACAACCTTATTAATAAGTACTTTTTTTAGTTTTATATTTTTTAAAATAATTTAAAAATAAAAAAATCGTTTATAAATAAATAAAATTCATTAATAGATTGTTAATGGCTTAATATCAAAATAAGTGCATAAATTATACCGTTTTTTTAAATAGGTGCTTAAAGTACTTTTTAACTCATCACGGTGTCTAACGTTATCACTTTTGGTGCTCGGACCGTCAATAGTATTAATTTTTCCTGTTAAGTGACATGTCTCATATTCTGGTAATTTAAAATTTATTTTTTAAAAAAATATTATTATATTTATAAAAAAACTTAATTTCTCTTAAATTATAAAAAGAAATCCCAAAATTCTAATCTTATCCCATTTTTTTCGTTCTTTTTGGTAACGATCACCACCGACAATGTAGTTCATGCCATCATCCTAGTTATATGACGCCGTAGTTGACGTCGATTAACCGTCAGAATCACGTGGGATCACGATTTTCATCTTAGGATTTTCGGGGTATAAAATGTTGATTCGTCGTCAATTGGTTATAATTTCATAAGGGGTTTAATCGTCAGGGAGGTGAGGTCAGTGGAGCTTCGTCGATGGTGAAGGATGGTAATCAGCGTGGGTTTAAGAGTTAAAATGAAAGTTTTAAAGTTATGTGATTATTTCAAAATTTGTGTTTTATCTTTAAATATATATAATTTTAATTTTAAAATTTTAAATATATTTTTAAAATTACCAAATTGTGACACGTGTTACTTAATAGGGGAAATTAACACTATTGATGGTTTGAGTACATAAAGTGATAACGTTTATAACGTTAGATACTTAGACGATTCAAGAAAAATACTTTAAACACCTATATAGGAAAATAATATAGTTTATACACTCATTATTAATTTACAACTTAAAGATGATATTATTATGTAATAAAGTGGATAAATTAAATTATAATATTAATTTATGGTATGATTAATTATCGGAAATTCAGGGGGAAATAGGCATTTGGATGTTAAAAGGCGGTCCATAAATGTCCTTTTTTGGCTCCATTATTTAATTAAACTATTATGTCATTTTATTTCTCGTTTTTTATTATTGTCATTGTGACTTTTTAAAAATAGAAAACAGTTTTTTCCGATAATTATTCGATATTTTTGAAGAAAACTTTCATTAAATTGAATTTAAGTCAAAAACTCATTCCATAAGATTGTTTTACCCACCTTCCTCCACTTGAGCCAAGTTGTGATAATATGCTTGCATCCTAATGTGCAATAAATTGACAAGTTGAGGGCTAAATAAGCAATGTAAAAGTTAAAGTAATTTTCTTACACGCCAGTAAATTAAAATTTTAAATTATCCCAAGTAAAATAAGAAAATTAATATACCTTTAAAGTAGAGACGACGAATAGGTATGGTGGGTGTGGATACATTCGCCCCTATTTTCATATTCACTAATATATTTGTATTTATCACCTATTCATCACTCACAACAAGTAAAATTTTTAAATTCACAACCCTTTAAACAGATACACTCTCAATTTCACCCTCACACTTATTACCTAACTGAATGTCCATTATTCATCTCGTGCCTACTTGTACCCTTCCACGCTCACTAATTTGAGAGAGTAGAAACTAGAGTATTTAGTTTTAAAAATATTTATACCTAACATTTAGTTAAATTATAGGTTATATCCTATAAGATTTTAAGATTTATAGAATAATCTTTAAGAGTACCGAAATTCATAATAGTATAAAATTTATATGATGGATACTTATTTAACGAACGAATGTGAGACAAGCAGATACATAACAGGTACGATATCAAATTAATTAACTACTCACTACCTACGGTAAGTATAACTCTTTACTTTCACGCTTACTCATTACATCCTAAACTTATATTCTTCCTCTTTTCAATTGGAATAGTTATAATACAAAATCAACAAAATTGTACCCAAAAAATAAAAAAATAAAAAGCGATAAGGGAAGAACTTAAGTCGAATAAAACTTAATTTGTTAATTAGATTTTGTTAATCAATTATTATTTATTAAAATTTATAAATGAATTGATCAATTTAATTGATTTAATACATATTAACTATTTTAAATAAAAATATATATAATATGTTATTTTCTCTTATTCTGATATATTAATTATAATCTTAACCAGTAAATATCACTTATATCACATTTTTTCTTCCTATTATCTTTTGACAAAAGAGTAGTTTTTATCCTATAGTAAATTCAATTTATCACTTTCGTTCTTATTGTATTTTCGTATCAATTTAACGCTCGAAGTTGCTCAATTACATCATTCTAGCCATAACTTTAACTTAAAATCCTAAACCCTAAATAATAATCTCTAAACCATAAACTTTAAACCTAAGATTTATAATTTAGGGTTTTAAGTTAGAGTAATGATATAGAATGACGCAATTAAACAACTATGATGATTAAATTGATGCGAAAATACGATAAAGAAAAAAATAATAAATTGACAAATGTGACTCTTAAACCTTATCTTTTTATGTGTGAATCGTTTGTTAACTCTCGAAATCGTTATTTATTGTAGTAATCTTATTGAAAAAAATTAGTTTGTCTTTAAAAATTAAAAAATTTAGTTATGTTTTTTTGTTTTTAAGTTTTAAACCTTTAATGTAATTTTTTTTCATGTCTTGTTGTCATTTTTGAAGATGGAGTGCAAATTGTATCATTCATTGATCAATAATATATTCGAATCATAAGTTTGTTACATAAATAGTTTATTTGTAAGTCGAGTTTGATCAACCATATATGAAAGTTTTTATTATTAATTTAATGTTTTTATATAAAATATAATTATCCAGCCGCTACTTTAATATGATGTACTCATTTGATATGAGAATATTATAAAAAGTTAAATTGATAATTATTTTAAACATAAATTATTAAATTTATTAATTTTTTATTATGATCAAATTTATATAATATAAAAATTGTTATATTGCAATCCATTGGTTTATTTAGTGTGTATTCGGTTCGGTTCGGTTCGGTTTTTTATTAAAAATTGAACCGAATCGAAATAAACGGTTTTTTAATATTTAAACCGAAATCGAATGGTTAAAAACTGAAAAAATCGAAACCGGTTTTTTCGGTTCGGGTTTATCGGTTTTTCAATGAAAAAATCACTTGAAACTATATTTTTTTTAAAAAAAATTACCTATTCGGTTCAATATGGAACAAATGGGTACCATATGGAAAAAAACCGAAAACCGAATTAAAAAAATAAAACCTTTAAACCGAACAGAAAACCGAACCGTATAATACCAAACCGAACCATTTTACTCGATTCGTGTCGATTTTTCAGTTTCGTTGGCCAGCCCTAGTTTCATTTTTAACAGAAGAGTGATATGTTTGTAATGATATTTTAGTTGAGTCTCTAAACTGTAACTTTTAGAAAAGATTGTGACGTGTTTATAATGAACAAGTAATTCAGTGATGTGGGGGTGTATTTTAGCCTAAAATCTATATAACATCAGTACAGAAGAAGGTGGGTCCACTAATCAAAAAGGTCAGCCACGTGTAATCCATGTGGCAATATATCCAAAACTGGACCCTCTTCCTATGTCAGTTATTACCATTTCGCATATATTTATTGTTTCTAAAATTCTCCCCCAATAATATTCTTTTTTTTTCGCTTCAATTTTATTGTTTGTGTTTAATCTCTCTGTTTTCTCCTCCTGCTTTCTGATTCTGGGTTTAATTTCCCCTAAAAAATAACCATAAAAATTGAATCCATGTCGAAGAAGAGAAAATCCGACGCTACCCGGCTGGACGAGATGGATCGGAGCATGTACAACACCTTCTGTAGCGCTGCTAACTCGCTTTCGCAGCTTTATTCTCAGGCCATGAACCACCAGCGTGTCTCTTTCCAGGACGGGGAACGTCACGCTCTGGTTAGCTCTTTTTCTTTGTGTTTTATTCCTTTCTTTTCCCCTTTATCTTTTATCTCAATATTGGCTGTATCTGTTTATTAAGTAGGGTGTATTTGTTCTAAACGAATTGCTAATTTGTTATGAATTTCGCAACATAGTTGCCTTTTGGAACAGAATTATGTGGAACAGAAAATTCATAAGAAATATGATTGTGTTCTGGAAGAAAATTTAAATTGGGTTAGTTTTTAATCGCACATTTGCTTTTGAAATTTGTTGTAATTTGGTGAGAAGGTGTTTAGCTTTATTCCTTTCTGAAAATTTTATTAATTTCCCTTAAAGTTGGAAATTTATGTTAAGTTCGTGTAAGTATCGGATATGGGTATTTCTCTCTCAAGATTTCATGTATTTGGAGTCTCCTAGTTGGATCATGTTCCCACACTCCTATCTGAGCCTGTGTTAGAAAATTGGTGTCAAATACGAGGACGGACTCAAGATCTTAGGTTAGGGCGAAAATGTAAAGAAAATAACTAAATTATATGAGAATTTGAAAATTTCAAGAAGGCGACTGCCCAGCTAGCTCCCCTTGGGTCCATCCCTTGTTAGATACCTTGGGAAGATGAGTCAGAGTAACATGGGTCAAGCTTAGGCAATTTTGAAGAGGTATTAAGCCCTCAAACAAATTTACGATAGCACTATGTCTATTTTGAAGCTTCACGGTGGATCCTTTGAGCTTCTCAAAAGGGAGTCATGGTTTATGACGTGCGGATTTTTTTGTGTCTTTTTGGTTGTATCAGGAAGGAAGACAGTCTTGCATTTCCTAAACTCTTGATCATGTGTTCTCACAATAGACATATCTGCTTAGTTCTTCACTCCTATTGTGGGTTTTTTTGGTGTGTTAAATTATCTTGAGTCTTGCTTGTGGTTGATTCTATCCTTGCTTTTATTACTCTATTGGCCCTGTATTCTTTCTCCAAGTTGTCTCTAGTGTCTGTTATGGATGATTTGAGCCTACTTTGTAATTGGTTTTACTCCGCCGATGATGTCTGAAATAGTGAAATGCTTCCCTATGAGGTCGAATGTTAATATTTATGTATATTTCGGTTTTATAATTGCGTTTTCATGTGTTCCTGGTTGGCCTTGGGTATTGCATCTATTACATAAACCCTTCCTCTTTCTTTACCCTTTCCACCCACAGGAGAAGCTTTTTCAATGGATTTTGAGACAGCAAGAAGAAGGGACAAGGGTGACAACAGCTGATATAGTTGCTCATTTGCAAGTATCTTTGGTGATGTCTTGCTCTTATTTGTTTCGATGAATATGTTTGGTGAAGAAGCCTTTAAGGATTTTCTTGATAAATTGTCATTCCTTTTGAATTCTGTAGAATGAACTTGAATATGGAGCAGAAGAGTCTCCAATGTCCCCCAGGCCATCATTTCACCAAAGCCCTCAACCCGCGACGCACATGAATGCTTCGAGCGCTTCTCTTTTATCTACCCCAATTTCAGCATCAACGATTGGACAGGGAGCTCGTTCCGGGGATTATCGAGGAAAGAACCTGGAATTCTCTAACGCAATCCCGAACCCGGTTCAAGGCAGCCTTCAGCACTACCAGTCAGTCCACCAGGTTGGTTACCATTCAAATAATGTCGTGTCTTCTTCTGCTGATAGACCTCAAAATGACGAGATCAATTATAGTCACCAACAGAACGGGGAAGCCGATTCCTCAATCTTCAGTGATTACATGGACATGCCTATGCATGGTGATAGTCCAGTCTATGAATAACCCTTTCTGAATTTCCCCCTCCGCGTTTTCGTTCAACCCTGGTTTAGATTCATTTGTTGCAAGGTCTAGCAAACTCTAATTCGCTGCATATGTATTGAAGTTAAATGTTTATGTATCATTGTATTTTACATTTATTCAATATAGATATGGCAATTTGTTTACATGTATCATATAACATATCTTGTGTCATAATTAGAGTTTTAATTGTGTTTAAAGTGTGTTACATACTTACATGTACAATATATATATTCGAATGTTTGACCCATAAATATGCACCAAATTGCATTAAGGTTATCTGTCACAAAAAAGACGCCGACGACTCATTCTTATAATCACAGTACAAATATATAAATGACATTATAATCAATATATTTGTGTATTATATTTGAAATGAACCATTATAATATGTAAATAGACGTATTGGTGATTCTTGTTATACCTTTGGATTAGTGTTGCACTTTTGAAATAAGTATATCATATCTAAGGATGACAATTTAACTCATATTTAAGGATGGTAATTTGACAATTTAACTCATATTTAAGGATTGTAATTTAACCCGAATATGACGACTTCCGACCTAATAGGGTGGGATTTTTTTAAAAAAATATTTGAGATCAGGTTGGGTCGAACTTTTTAAAAATGTGAGGTCGGGTAGAGTTTGGGTGGAGGATGAAAAAACTCCAACTCAACATGAGGATAATAATATAATTCTTTTTAAAATTATTGTTTTTTTAAAATTAAATCCTTATTTTTATTGGGTCGGAGTCGGGTAGAGGATATATATTTTTCGGATCAGGTCAGATGGAGGATATAATATTTTTGGTTCGGATCAAATTTGAGTGGAAGATACATATTTTCTAATCGAGTAAGATTAACTAAAAACCGACCCTAATATGACCCGTTGCCATCCCTATCATACCTCCGAAATCATTCCTATGTGAATTATGTTTCTTTTATTAGTATACTGTCAACTGGTTTAAGATCGTCAACAACTTCAAGAGATTTATAAAAGATAAATTTGAAGATTAACAATCGTATTTATTCATTCCATTGATCTCTAAAGAGTAATTATGATCTTAAATTTAACACCAATACAAATTCATATATAAATTACATGATAAATAGAAAGGGATTTTTTTCTTTTATCTTCTCCATTATTCATTTTTCCGATAATTTTTCTCTCTCTATTACTAATATCACCAGTTAATTACCGTATAATCATGGATTATAAATTCTTTTATCCAAATTAGAAAATATAAACTGTATTCCCATCAACAATTCTAAGTATGATTGTTAATATTATAATTTTATTTTGTAATGAGATATATTACCAAATAGTACACATATTCTAGTATGTGTTGGTTTCTTTATCCATGGCAATATAAAGAATAACTGCAGGTGTTATGATCAGGAATTCATGCATGGTGAAGCACGACGAGATTATCCAATCTTCATTTAACAAAACTACAGGTAAAGATATGTTGAATTACCTAGAAGATGACGTTGAATTACAAAAATCAACGCATAAAATGATAAGAAATCCAAATGCATGGCGAAAAAGAAGCCGGCAGCCATTGCCAAACTGTGCTCTACAATCAACTTTCTGCTCATTCATCTAAAGATCTCCCTTTATTCAGCAACAAAATATACACAGGTTTCCCTAATTCCACTCTTGAAATGTATTAATCAATAATACGAACCGGACTAAGCTAACTGCTGTAATCCAAAACTTAACTAGAAACCTAAAAAAATGATTAAAACCGAGTTGACTAAGCTTCGTGATCATGATTTATAACCCAAACCCAGGATAGATCAATGATCAAGAAGCTAGTTTCTTGCACAAGTTTATACCTGCGGATTCGATAACCTTAATCAACATTCCTAGAGAGAGAAATCTTCAATATTCTTAATACGCTTCGTCTCCTTGTGAATACTCTCGATAGACCGATACCTTTGCTTCTTTGTGGAGATCTCATCTTCTTTCCCAAAAATCTCCTCAATATTTGCAGAAGCTATCTCATCTTGACTTTGCTTTTCGATCATCTTTGTTTCACTTTCGATTCCCTTGTTGTCTTCGTCGCTCAGTTGAATGAGCTGTTGAGCCGCGGCAGCCATGTCGAAGTCCAACATCGACGGCCTTTTCGACTTAACTGAGGACTTTGAATCCGACATTGGAGATCAACCCAAGGTTTGATTTTTTCCTCGGATTTCTAGTCTTTGTCTGCCCAAAGAATTTGAAATTCCTTCTTCGTTGGTGATTACTTTGTGAACGGGGGAGTTTGGTTTTGTGAAATTGGGCGTAGAGCGCGTTTTAAGGGTACGTGTTGTATGAGGTTGACAAGCAAGAAATATTAAGAAAGTGCTTTACCCCGCCGGGTTACCCATTTTGTCTCCGTCGGATCCTTAACAATGTCTTTTGTAGGGTAAGCGTCCGGAAAAAAAATAAGTGGATTAAGCATTATCTTATAATTTAAACTTTATTTAATTTTTTTAAAATTTAAAAATAAAATTTTAGTCTAATCAAATTAAATATTTTAATTTTTTTATTTAAAATTAATTATAAATATTTATAATATTAATTGATTTTATTTTAAACAATTTTCTATTATTATTATTATTATTATATATATATATATATTTGGATAAAGAACACCAATAGTCCTCCAACTATAAGATTTTACTTTATTAAGTCCATCGATTATTAAAAATTATAAAATGGTTTCTGATTATCGAGTGTTGATTTGTTGAGTTGATCAACTATTATAAGTTACAAAATATTCTCTCGACTATTTATTATGTTCCAAACTTGTCATTTTCTGTTAAAAAAATAGATGATATTATTAGCTGGACGTTAACCTATTGACTATGATATGATAAAATTTGATCCCAAAATCTCAAACGACTATCATTCTCAGTCAACATGTTACATTCAACTTAAACAACTGCCAATTTTTTAACGGAAAAGGACGAGTCTGGAACATAACGATAGTCGAGTACCATTTTATAACTTTTAATAGTTGAGGAACTCAACAAACAACACTCCATAGTCGAAGGATTATTTGTAACTTTTAATAGTCGAAGAACTCAATAAAGCAATACCCTATAGTCGGGATCATTTTGTAATTTTTAATAGTCGAGAGACTTAATAAAACAATACCCTATTTTGTAACTTGAACTTAAAAATCAAACTACTAATTATTTAAAAATTTCAATTTATTTGAGTTATATTTTATAACTTAAAAATTATTTTAAAAAATTAAGATAAATCAAAAAAAATTAATTTATTTTTTGAATTGAGTCTTGCTCACCATAACTTTTCGTAATTCGATTTGATTTATTACTAAAAGAATAAATTATAATTACACTACTCAAATTTTCTCTCACTTCTATTTTAGCAGCTAAAGTTTAAAGTTATTAATATATATCCATATATTCAATCTAAACATTGCTTACGTCCATATGAAAAAGTACAATATATAAAAGACCAGAAAACTACTTAATTTCACTACTTTTGTGTCTAATAAACATTCACAGTTGCTACTCTCCTATCTAAAGCTGTTGTTGATTTTGCTTCAAATGATTGTACTCATTCATTTTCTTCAAGCAATAGGCACCTCCTCTGCCCTGTGGACGTGTTCGAATACCTTCGTAGGTTTAGCAGGTTCTTGATTTATGCTCAAATTCGTCTCTCTTAGTTTCTCGGAATCCGAGCCGCCGCCTCCGGTGCTGGTTCAAGTTTCTTCCGTTTTATTGATTCAGTATTTCCCGGAGCAACACCTGCAGGATCCGGCTTGTAGATTTGCTTGATTTCGCTTGAAGGTTCTTCGACTTTTTGATTCATAATCGCATTGACATCTTTTAGTTTCGCAGTATCTGTTGATGCCTCAGGTTCTGATTTTCCTGATTTAATGTTTATAGGAAAACAGTCCATCATCTCTGGCTTGTAGTGTTAAAAGTTAAATAATTTAGGCATCAAATTAGGCACCAAATGATGCTTTGTCAAAGTCAAAAATTAGGTACCTAATTTTTGTTGAAATTGGGTAATGAGATAATTAATTTTAGTCATTGTAATTTAGGGTATTTATAAGATTAGTTCTTAAGTTTCAACTATAAATACCCTAGCTCATTTAGCTTCAAAATCATCCCAAAGCATTCTAGCTTTCTTCCAATACTAGAGAGAATTTAGAGAGTTTCTTGAAAGTTGTTTTCTCCTTTTTATCAAGAGATAATTATCATTGTTTTCTTCTTGGTAGATCGAGAGAGGTTGTAATTCCTATTTTCTCATAGTGAAATTCTTCTACCGTTGCCCGTGGTTTTTACCCTATATTATTTAGGGGTTTTCCACGTAAATTTTGTGTCTCTTTTTTATCTTCATTTTTATTTTCTCAAATTATCAGTTGCGATTTTGCTCTATCCGATAGCCGTCTTCCGCAACAATTGGTATCCGAGCTAGATTAGAGTGTGTAATATCTGCTTATTGTCTTTGTGGTTGCCACCAAAAGGTGGATCCTCCAACATAAGAAAGTAAGAAGTTATTACCCATTCTTTGAAGGTTCCAGAGAACTATTCACGATAGTGAAATAGTGGGAGCTATCCGTAAACGAAGCAATGACAACGAAATTTGATATTAAAAAGTTCAAATGGGAGAAATTTCTCATTCTGAAAATTGAAGATGAAGGCCATCCTGAGGAAAGACGGTTGTCTAGCAGCTATCAGCGAAAGGCCAGTAGATTTCACAAATGACAACAAATGGATCGAAATGGACGGAAATGCTATGACAAACTTTCACCTAGCATTAGCAGATGAAGTATTGTCAAGTATCGAGGAAAAGATGACAGCTAAGGAGATATGGGATCATCTCACCAAACTGTACGAGGCCACATCGTTGCACAATAAAATTTTCCTTAAGAGAAAATTGTACACTCTCCGTATGCCAGAATCTACTTCAGTGACGGAGCACTTAAATACACTGAACACTTTATTTTCTCAGCTTACATCCTTAAGCTGTAAAATAGGAGAACAAGAACGTGCTGAACTTCTACTTCAAAGTCTACCGGATTCATATGATAAACTCATCATCAACTTGACAAACAATAATGTCACCAGTCTAGTCTTCAATGACGTTGCAGCTGCTGTTCTACAAGAAGAAAATCGGCGCAAGAACAA